GAGAGAGAGAGAGAGAGAGAGAGAGAGAGAGAGAGAGAGAGAGAGAGAATATATGGATAGGTCCCTCTTTTTCTGAGAGGAGGTCCTGAGCACAAGCAGCCCTCCTGTTTCAGCCTCCCAACTAGCTGGGACTGGGTGCAACACCAGTGCACCCAGTTTTGAGTAGATCTTAAAATACATTGTGCTCACAAGCAATAAAAATGAAAGTAGACAAAATAGAATGCCCAAATTAAAACTTTCTGTGCATCAAAGGACACAATCAGCCACACGAAAAGGTAACCCACAGAATGGGAGAAAATATTTTCAAATCATATACCTCGTTAAGATAGCTGGATGTCATAAAATCCATGACTCATAAATAACTTCTGCAACCCAGCAATGAAAAAAAAAAACAATTTAAAAATAGGCAATGGATTAGAATAGACACTTCTCCAAAGCAAATATATAAATGGACAAGTACATGAAAAGATGTTCAACATCACTAATAATTAGGGAAGTGCAAATCAAAATGAGTTATTACCTAATATGCATTAGGATGTCTATTAACAAAAAGAAAGGAAGAAAGGGAGGGAGGGAGAGCAGGAAGGAGAAAGGAAGGAAGAAGGAAAGAAAGAAACAAGGAAAGAAGGAAGGAAGGAACCAAAAACAAAGGTTGGCAAAAATGTACAGAAATTGGAACCCTTTTGTACTGTTTGTGGGCATATTAAAAAGTGTAATAACTATGGAAGAACAATTGCAGGTTTCTCAAAAAATTAAATGAATTAAATACTATAAAATTAATTAATTGAAAAAAATTAATGACCATATAATTCAGTAATTTCACTTTGGGGTAATTTTGGCAATTTTACCCCAAAGAATTGAAATTAATGTCATGAAGGGATATCTGTATACCCATGTTCCTAGCAGCATTTTTCACAATAGCCAAAAGGTGAATGCAACCCAGATGTCCACTGACTGACTGATGAATGGATAAGGAAATGCAGTTTACACATATAATGGAATAGTATTCATCCTTTAAAAGGAAGGGAATTCTGACATGAACTACAACATGGATGAACCCTGTGGACATTATGCTAAATGAAATAAGCCAGTCACCAAAAAAAGATCAATATCATATGATTTCAATTATATAAGGTATCGATCGAGAGTAATAAAATTCATAGAAACAAAAACAGAATGGTGGTTTCCAGGACCTGGGGCTCAGGAAGGGAGCCATGGGGAGTTGTTCAATGGGTACAGACTTTCAGTTTTTCAAGATGAAAAATTTCTAGAGATGGATGGTTCTATTATTTACCTTAGTAGGAATCTGTGGTGGGTCCTTTGGAAGGTGATTGGGTTCTCAGGGCAGAGCTCTGGTGGATTAATGGACTAATGGGTTAGTGGACACATGGTTTATCTTGGGGGTGGCTTTGTCATAAAAGCAAGCTCTCTCTGGCATTCCTGCTCTGTACTATCCTGTGATGCCCTCCACCATATTATAATGCAGGAAGAAGGCCCGCACCAGATGCTGAGCAGATGCTAGCACCATGCTCTTGAACTTGCAAGCCTCTGGAACTCTTCATTATGAATCATCCAGTCTATAGGATGCAAATAGAGTAAAAGAAAATGGACCAAAACACATGGTGTTGATGGTTTCACAACAGTGTGAATGGACTTAATTCCACTGATCTGCACACTTAAAAATGGCTAAGTGGTCAATTTTTTTCTATATATTTTACCATAACTAAAAATATAAGCAAAAAGAAAACTGCTAAATCAGAAGTCAACAAACTTACAAACTTTTTCTGTTAAGGGTCATGTGGCAAAGACACGTCACATCACGGGCCAGAGGGTCCCTGTCACAACTATTCAGCTCTGCTCTAGAAGCACAAGAGCAGCCACAGGCAATGCATAAAAGATCAGATGTGGCTATGTTCCAATAAAACTGCATTTAGGAAAATAGGCTACAGGCTAGGTTTGGTCCATAGGTTTACCAACCTCTGTACTAAGTGAAAAAAAAGTTTAGGTTAAGAAAGAAATCTAAACTATAATATTATCAGGTAAACACAAATGTGTATGCAGATCAAACATGGCACATTTTTCAAAAATATACATTGAAACAAATATCAAACTCAGAGAGAGTGCCTTAGGAGAAGAAAACTGGAACTGAGACATGAAGGGAGAAATGTCTTAATGTGGGAGGGACAGAGGAATATGACATGGGTGTCCCATAAATTTGAACATGAGAAACCTAGCACTTTGCAACTGAGGTTCAGAGCAGGAGAGGGAGAGAAGGGGGAGAGGATAAGGCAGCATTAAACACACCAAGGAATTTCTGAAACATAAGATCAAAGAAAAGCACCAAGATCCAACTTGCCAATCACCACATCCAAAAACAATATAGTCTTCTGGGGGTGGGGGGACATGAGCCTGGAACCCTACCCCATGCCCCAGATTGATGGAAGAACAATACAACAAACTGATAGAAAAGGAGCCGCGGAGATGGCTGGTGGCTATGGATGGTGAGAAGGGTAGGGGGGTCAAGGCATTGGCCCTAGTGATCAAAGAGAGTCAGGAGCCAGGAAAACACAGTTCCCTATCTGCAAATAAAGACAAAGCAGCCCGACAGTGCTGGTGTCATGGGCACAAGCAAGCTGACTGGCTGTCCTGAGACATGAACAGAAAAGGTCACCACATATAGAAGAACCTGAAGTACAGTCATAGTGAGGACACCCTGAGACAAGAGACTGCTCAGGCACAGCCCATTAGACCGGGGCAGGCACAGCCCTTCCACCAATGGTCAGGACACTGCGTATGACTCACAAGGAAGACAGCCCCTTGGAAGATAAGTTCACAAAGAACATCATGAGGAAACCGGACAAAAATCACAGTTTGAGATGGCAGGCCTCAACCAGACACCGGGCAGTAAGATCAAGTACTGTATCTCAACACATATAAGGAGTCATTATGTGTCGGAAAGAATCTGCCAACTGAATTATAACATTTTAACACATCCATTGAAAAATAAAGTCCATTTTAGAGATATTAAGATATAAAATATATGAGTCTGAGAGTCAGTAAGTTACGAGTATAAGAAGTATGTTCCATGGCCCAGGATATAAACAAATAAGAAATCTCATGCCAGGAAAAAGTGACACAAAACCAACAAAGGACAGATTTCATCCCTAATGAAGTAGAAATACAATCAGAAATAAATTTTAAAATAAGCATTCTTCACATGTTCAGAGGCAAAAGATTTTTAAAATAAGGGACAGGTAGATATGAAAACGAACCAAGTAAAAATAAATATGAGAAATAAAAATATAATATGTCCAAATTAAAAATAATAAATGAATCAGAAATTAGATAAGAACAGGACATAAGCATTAGTTAACTATAACATGGAATATAAGGCTGGGGAGAAGGAAAAAAAGGTTTGACACCTAGGAAGAGGACAGAGATGAAAAATGCATATTTTAATATGTTATAGTGAGCATTTTGGTTGTCTGGCCAACCACCACGCCTCCTTTTCTTAGAAACTCCTGATTTTCTTTTGGGGCTTGAACTTCCTTGGACACCAATACTGAGACACCTACCTTTGGATTTCCAGTTATATGAGCCAGTTAAGTAAACCTTTAACAGTTAAGCTCAGTTGAACTTTTTTTTTCCTTTTATTACCTATTATTGAATGCATCCTGATATGATATGCATATGAGAAGTTTAAGAACAATCACAACCCCCAATGTAATCATTGATTGAATTAAGAACCATCAGTGGATACTAAGGCCATTGGATGAAAAGTTATTAGAGAACCAATTCATCAAATGATCTCCACCACCCTACAGATTGTATTCTAGTTTCAAAGGACAAAATGCATATTTCCAGTGGAGAACTCTGGTTGTTACTGCCTCAGCCAAATGA